TTCATATTACACCATCTAAGAAGTATTAAGAATAAGTAAAAACAACTGCCAGATTTTTTAAACATAATCTGCTACTAATACTGGAAATGTAGTAAATGCTAGAAAATCTTAAGACAAGCGAGTGGCAAACTTGAAATTACAATAATATTTACTTGATGTGTTTGGTAAGTGCTTTTAAAAAATTTTTTTTTAATTCGTGAGAAATGTTATTCTGCAATTTTATAGACACGACAGAACAATATATTTTTTGTTGAAACATTTTTTCGCTATCTCTTACCGCTTTCAAGATAATCCACGAGAATGAAAAATTTTCATTTTTTTCAAAGGGTGGTTTCACCCCTTCAAGATGAAATTCGACACGAAAAAAATTGCAATGTATTAGGCTTGACTTACTCTGCTTACTTACAAAGCTTCATAATCTTTTGAATTTCCGAATTCGATGCCTTTATTTGTGTCGTGAATTTGATGCATTTACCGGGAAACTCGATAAATACTGCTTCTAGATTATAACATGGATTATAAAATCCCTAGCGAAAGCTAACACTTCTTACGACCACGACCAATGTTTATCTATATGTTCGTTTTATCATACACAGTTCAAAAATACTGAATAAGGGTAATGTTTATTTCTAATTAGAATATTTGAAATGAAGTACCTACAGACGCTCGTGTTTAAAAGTATAGTCCTGTATTTACCTTTACAATATGTTAACCTAATATTATAAAGATTTTTATACACGAGGCGACAATCATTACAATCTTAACAGAGAAATATGAACATACCACTTCTTTACACTAAAACCTCAACAACTGCAGGGAATTAGAAAATACGTTTTTATTTTATTTGATCCACTGGTACGTTTTCAACCACTGAAGAAATCCATCGCTAAGGATATTCCTATTCCTAACTTTCTGCTTAGTATCTCTCCAGCACGCCGCAACCAGTTTCAGAATTCACAAAATTATTATTGCGATTTCCTCTTACATTTACAACTTAATCTAAACAAGACCTTCTACGTATACGCGTACATAGTTCCACGCATGTGAATATCCAAGTCAATTGAAAGTCAATTCAAAACTGACAAATGTAAGTACCAGTGAAACGTACTAAAAGAAAGATAGAAAATCAGTGAATCGATGCTCATAAGCAATCTATTTGCCATTACCTGTATTCTATTACTCAAACCCAAAGTTCCCGCATGAAATCTTGTATATCTTCGGATCCGTCTATTTCGCGAACACATTGTTTTTCAGCGTTTAGCACCCCGGTCAAAGTGAAATGTAATCCTTAAACTAGCCTATATTTGAACCCCAAGGTACATTTGGACCAGCTCGTATACCGTAAAAATTAGTTCGACCAGTTTCGGGCGCGTTTCTAAGCACGGACACAGAGACAGCTCGTCCGCTAAGAAAATCGCGGGTCGTATTCTCCGAGCAACTAGTTGTGCGGAGCCAAACGAAGCCGAGTTGACGGGATATCGCGACGTGCCGTGCCGCGATCGCTCCTGTTGAGCTGAAACGACGTCGGGTCTCGCTAATGAGGACGTCCTTTCTTGCATACCGGATAACGTTTCGCCGCCGGGCGACGCCGGGCGTCTCGAATTTCTCGTGTACGCCTCTTCTTCGTTTCTCTCGCCTCCGTCTCTCCTTCTGGGTACGATCAATGCCGAAGCCACCGGGCAAACTCGCTCTTTCCCTCCCCCTATCTTCGTCCCGCCCTTCTCTTCGCCTATCCTGCACCTTATCGTGAAAAGTACGCGGCACGTTGAGTTTGCCGTCGATCGATCGAGTGGTACCCGATGGAGACGACAGTTCCAAAGAGCCCACCGATGGAGGAAGTCTGGCCGTGCCTTCGCGAAAACAGTCCCGGGCCAATTAAACCTTTTACACCGGCGCCATTTAATTCGGTGACTCTGCCCTATTAATTGGCCGCGAGCGGATCGTTACGATTCCATTCGGAACGATCGAAAGTCAACCGCATATGCAGCCATGTAAGGCTAGGAAATCGTTTCACGGCTAGGCAGAGGAATGCAGGGTTGATTGGTCAGTTTTTATCTGATTCCCGATGTTCGTTTACGATTCGTCAACAGGGTTACGCGTAACTGATCGAACCGGTAAACGAGATGCTTAATAAAAGACACCTTTTGCCCTACGCTCTTCTGCTAGACGTTGAATTATCTGCCAACGGTAGTTTTCGTTATCCAGAGTTTCGAAGCGCGGGAAAAAGTGTAGTTGGAATCGATCGAGGATGCACGGATATGGTTATCGAACGATCGAAACGACGCGCGTGCGAGGAAAAGGAAAAACAGCGATCCCTAACGAGTCTTCTTCTTCTTCCTTTCTCCTCTTCCGGCGAGTAACGCTTCTAACCAATCACCGAGCGATGCATCGATCGATGGTTGTCCGGTTCGCAGTCGAGTCTCTTTTCGTTATCTGCGAATGGCGTCTTCCCGTGACAACCGCATCGGCTCTGATACGCGCCTTTGAGCGCGTCCGCAACGCTGAACTTGCATAGTAGTCGATCGCGTGTCCCTCTTGGTTCCACGTATCAATATAACCGTTTCAATCGAAAGAAAAAGGAGAAAGATTCGACGAAGCGCGGATAGTTTCTCATTTGACGCGAAACTACCAATGGTACAGAAAAGAATGTTTGATCGTAATTAGATTTACACTATAAACCCATACAATTTCGAAATTCTTCGTTTCGTCGCATGACAAAGTATAGAAAATATTAGATTAACCGGAAAGACTTGCACTTCTAAACGAAGTTTAAAGTCAAATTTCAATTCGCTGGATTAAATTTCGTTGAACTATTTGCTGCACAGTTTATTCAGAAGCTTCTCGTTGTCTTTTACTTTATTTATTCGTAACTCTTATCCGTAGGTCACAAAATCAATGCCGCATTGAAAATTGAAGCGACAAGACTTTTCAGCTAACTGAACATTTGATCGTCCGTTTCTTTGAAATCGCGTCGATCGAACAAAGATCGCGGCCGAGCGAGAAAGAAGCGCACGACCCGCGATATTTTAATTCGTCTGTCGCGCCGTAATCGTTCCTATCCGCGGAGATCAATTTCGAGACGGGAAACGGCGGAACATTTGACCAGGCTTGTCATGGCAGAGACGCGTGCAGCGGCGATGTCAGTTTGTCGCGCTCACGAACACAGAGTCGCACGTAGGCGGAGGAAACGGCACGCTGACACGCCGCGGCGGTCGGCCTGACGGCCGGCACGCCGGCACGCAGGCAGCAGCCAGCCAGCCAGCCAGGCAGGCAGGCAGGCAGGCAGGCAGGCAGGCAGGCAGGCCGGTAGCCTGACACGCACGCTCTTTCACCTATACACGTTCGTTCGCATGCACGTCAGTAGGTTGCGTGGGTAGAGCGTTTCGCGCCGCGCGTGCCGACGGACACCTTCCTCCGACCCCGTCACCGTTGCCATCGCCGTCGCCTTACCGGCTCACACGTTTCCTCGCTCT